CAGAAATGTATCATATTCCTGGGGTTTTTATTGAAAATTTATGGAAATTACAAGGACTTACTCGCAAAATTCGAAAAGGTCTCAAATTAATAGAGTTTTTATTTATAAAGTGGAACTATAACGGACTTTATTTTTTATAGGGCATATCAAGATCATAAATACAGTACTTATTAATTACGTGCGAATTATTTCATTCACATTTATTTGGTCGATAAATACAAAGAATTAAAATCAGCAAAACAAGTTCATCATAAATGCCTATTTAACTATTATGTTGCATTGATTATTTCATAAAAATCATTTATTAATCAGCGTGATTTTTTAAACGATGGGTAATACGGAGACTATTAAAATCCAATCTCTATCTATATGGTCTGTCATTCTTTTGGTGCTTTTTCTGTTGACTTTTTGGCACCTTTTTCCGTCGTCATTTTGATATTTTTTCTGTTGCTCTTTTGGTTGTCTTTTTTCGTCATCCTTTTGGTGCTTCTTTTGTCATCCTTTTGCTCCAATACATTTACACAAACAAACCAAAGACAAAATTTTTTAATGATAAAGAACCAAAGAAATATCGCCAATTTTTAGTACTTAATCCAGAAGTCATACCAGACGAATATGTTTATCACACTGATAGCAAAAAAAATTGTTTGTTTTGAATACTTGTGGTGCTTCTCTTTGATTGAATTTGGTTCAATTTTGAAGGAACTTGAACTTGCTCGAATATATATTTCCAAAATACGTAAAGTTCATCCCTATAATATGTTGCAAGCTTTGACAGGTCCCTGTTGTATTTTTTTCGGGCGTTGGACAATTTATTGCAATTTTCAAATGAAAGCATCTCCCATCCATCTATTGTTCCACCCGCATCCATCTTTGAACGCATTGCCCTTCCATGCCTATCAGATGTCTATACAGAACTGCCTTGCTCAAGCGTTCACCACTAATAATTATAAATTTAAATATAGACTAATAAATATATATATACTATATATATATGTAATAATGTTACTGATAAATTTGTAAAAAATAACTTACACATTAACTGACGCCCAATCTCTTACTATATTGAGCAAGGGATGTACGTACATATGTGGAGCCAATATCACCTTCAAGTAAGTAAAGCATTGCAAGAAGTTCAAATATATTATTCTTGCGAGGTGGGTACAATTTAATGTCTAAATAAACTTGAATAGTGGTCCGTTGAGAAAAATAATTCATGTAAACTGGTTAAACTTTCAGTATTGCCAATCTCAACCACCATAGTAGGATATGAATTTCCAGATGAATTAACTGCTTGTGAGGGTAGAAGTTGATGACGATTCCTTGTCCGAACACAAACAAATGCTCTTTTGAAAAAAGTGATACACTAAGTAATAAATAAATATATATACAGTATATAGTTTAATTACTTAATCAATTCGATTTAGTTGGATCGATGATCTGCATAATTTTTTTAGAGTCCCGTGATTACAATAAGGGTATCACTTCAACGTCGTTATATTTTGTGGAACTCATTTTAGAACTCTTATATTTCCGAATTTAAGTAGTTATCTATCCTGTATTTGTGGACTCTCAGAACTCAAAAAAAATTATGTAGATCGTCAATCCAACTAAATCGAAAAGAGCAATAATGCATTTTTATAAATAATAAATTAATGCATACAAATGATAAAGGCAGTACGTAATAGATTGCTTTTGCAAACCATTCTTGGGTCGGATCTTAATTTTTTTGGCTTCTTGGTGGTAAGAGAATAAGAGCCAATTTTTGTAATCGCTTCAAGACTTAAAAGGTTGCTGTAATTAAAAGGTTTTTTTTTTAATAAAAAAATTATTTTTCATTAATTTATTTTATTTTTTAACCAAATATTTATAGCTAATGTTTATAGCTACCTTATTACAAAGTGTTATAATCCAACGCTTGATTTCTTTAGAAAAGTTTTTACATATCGGTATTTCTATATTCCTCTATCTTTTTATATGTTCATCGGTTACCCAAGAAAAATCAATAGACAAATATAAGAATCAAACTTACTTAATTCGTTGATAATTGTAGCGATGCTCATCGCCTAATTTCCTGTGATTTTACATGGTATAGTGTTCTGCAGCTTTTCAAAAAGATGTAACTAGAGGTGGGAAAAATGCACATTTTATAATAACATGCGCATGTTATATAAAATGCGCATGATATCGCATAATATAATTTTTTTTGATTTTATATTTTCCCTCCGGAAAATATCGGATATTTGCCAAAAATTTTCCACGATCCTTCTCATCTTTATGTTCATCATATTTTTTCGGAATTTTTCAAAACTTCTGCATTCCTATTTCTTAATTTTGCCTGGTATTATACACCTTGGCCTAAATAAATATACTTTGATTTTCCTATATAAAATTAGATGGGATAAAATGCGCATTAATGCGCACGATTGAGGAATCATGCGCACGCATGAAACCCATCTCTAGATGTAACTCTATGATTTTTGTAATGATGATCGGGAAAATTTTCGAGATTCTAAATTGTCTATTATTCCATATTTTCGATCGGTTTCAGTAAAATTCCTAAATCTAAAGAATCACCGATTCCCACACGATATTATGATCTGCAGAAGTCACATCTTTTTGAAAGCGCAATAAACTGAAATTGAGGATAAAAAAATAAATTAGTATTAAGAATATGAATGGCTCAACTTAAAAACACGGTAAGTAAAAAACGTAATAAAAAATAAAACAAATAAAAAATAAATTAATAAATAAATACTAATCTGAAATTTTTTCTTGATGTAATGAACTACGTGTCCCGTACCTTGTTAATCATATTGACAAACACGATTAATCGATTAATGCTGCTTTCCGCTAATTAAAAGTAATTCCAGACACATTTTGATCCCAGGTTAAGACGCTTGAGATCACCGTAAATCTGTGCAAATTAAATTGAAATAGTGTTAAATGAGGTTAGCAAATTAGAAATACAAGTAGTTCAACTTAAACACAAATAATTAAAACTGGTTGGAATTAATTTAAATAGTGCGGTAATAAATAATACTCGGCAATTGATTGAGTACAGACGCGTAAATATATGTTGTTGTTACACGTATGTGCAAATATAGACAATTTGTTTCAGAACTTCTATTCCGGTAAAAGTATGTGGTTAAAAATTATCACATTTTCTATCATGAAGCACTATAAAAATTCTTACTTGCCATTCCAGTGAAACACAACTTACTCCTATTCCCGGCATTGGAATTATCGTGACTTCTATCGGGAATTACTGTAAAAAATTTTGTTATAGAATTAACTTCTGTAGCACATCCGTAATCTGTGACAGGTTAAGCCACTGATTTCAATTACCGTCCAAAGGCTTATTGTTACAAAGTTGAATATATATAAAACGATTTGATCATATTTGAATATTTATTTTTTTTCGATTTTATAAATTAATTTTTTTTTGTCTAAAATTAGAAAAGTAAGCAAAGTAAAAGTTTAAATAACCCTACCGACTTCTAATAAGACTTAAAAGAGAACAAATTTTTTAATAAAGTTTATAAAAAAATTTTTTTAATATGAAAGGTCCTTCAAATGCCTCGCAAGTTATAAAATTTTGGATATATTTTAAAAAACTTATAAATCGGAATTAAGAAATGGAAGAGAACGATATTTCCGGCATCACTTTATTAGAAAAACTCAAAGATCAGTATAATGTAACAAAAATAAAATCTTCTGAATACTTTTCTTTATGATTTTAGTCACGACCGTTCAATCAAAAGTGCTGAAAATCTTACGCTGGGAATATAATCGGACGGTTATTGAAATAACCTGTCACAGATTACGGACGTGTGTTTATATACTTGTATGACGTGTATGTATGTACAGAATTTAGGGGGTAACGGTAAACAGATTAACGTGGTACATCCCAAATAAAGCATAAAAAAGATCAAGAACGTAACTTATGCAAGAGCTCGACATACGATACTGTCTTATAAGATAGAATAGATTATAATAATTATAATAATAATTAATAGTTTAAAAAAAAGAGTATATATTGTATTCTTGCATGATAGATTTTAGTTTAAGTTATATAAATTAATTAAATAATAAAATTTTATTTTTATAAAATAACTAATCAAAGTGATTAAAATGTTTATAGAGAAATATAGATAAATTATTACATACAGAAAATAGAGTAATATGTAAAGTTGTAAACAATATATTTTTTATAGAATTTTAATATAAATTATTTGAAATATAAATATAATATAAACTATTTAAAAGTTACATATTACAATATATAGCACTCATTATACTTTATATATGATAAGAAGAATTGTTTAATTGCATAAATTGCTTTATATAAAATAAAATGTGATTTGAAATTTACATGTGCTACTATTATATAAGTTATAATAGTAGAATATGTTGATTTGTTTTATATATAAATTAAGTGTAAATAAAACATAATTTGATTTTACTAGCATTAGATTAATATTTATAAATTTGCTTATTACGGAAGTATTAAATTGATTATATGTTAGCTAAATTATGTAATATATGCGACAAAGCATTTAAATTTTAAGGATGTTTAGAATAATATTAATAAAATATTAAGAAGTAAATATGTTCAAATTTTAAAGTAAATTTTGAAATTTATACAGTAGTAATAGTTTTATGATATTAACAATAAGTATGCATTTACTGTATGTTTAATGTAGGAATTTTGAAGCTAAGTTGGATTTTTTATATTATGCTAATCAGACAAGTATACATTATTGGGCAAAAATTTGTGAATAACGGCAATTTTGCTCAACTGGACAAATGATATTGGCTGGACAAGTACAATTATTTGTCTGGTTGAGCAAAATTGCTGTTATTCACAATTTTGTCCAATAATGGTTTTATTTGACAATTTATGATCATGATTGGTAGGGAGTTATTCGCTGAGTTTTTTTTTTTTTTTGAATATTGGAAAACATAATTACATCGTAACACATGAAAAAAAAATAACAGAAAGAAACTTTTTCATGATTATATGAGTTTGTTGGATAATATGTAATTATTAATTATAAGAGCTATTTTAATATTTAATTTTCGTTGATATTTATATTATTATTTTATATAAATTGTTTATATTATTTATATATAAAACTTATATAATCTGATCTTATATCAAAATAGTAAATAATAAGATAAGTATGTAATTATTTAATAATTTTAAGTTGCATAATTAAAGGTATGCAGTAGAATTGCTTTTACAATATGCGTATACATGTTATATTATTTATTTTTCTGATATATTATATTGATTTTTTTTAAATATGTATTGATTATACCTTATCGATGCATTTAATTTGATTTGGTTAATTATATTTTATCTAATAGATATAATAATACGTATTTGTAGGATAAATTATTTTTAGCTTCATAAAAACATATTTAGAACTAGTAAATGAATTATATTGAAAGCATTCTGCATCAAAGTAAGTAAAATCTCTAATTGGCTTTGGATCAATTTTTACTATAACAAGAAACATACAATGTGTGCACTAAGTGGGATTTCATCTGCTTCAAATTCTTGATTTGGACCACTAATTGTGACGACACTAACACTAGAGGCAATAACATATTGCTCTAAATTTTCAACTATAAACTTCTCTGCAAACATCACGATATCCCCTACAGAAAATTCAGTGTAGGGTTTTTCATAGAGATAAAAGTATTTCCAACAGACAATTTTAAAATCAACTTTATCAGTTAAAATTTAGCAAAGCCTTGAGCAAGTGAATTAGAATCTTATTTAGTGATAATAATAGCAATTAATGTCGCATGTGATGGCATTTTAAAAAGATAGAGATATATTTATAGAAGATTGTATATATATAGAATTTCAGTTACATAGAAAGTATAAAGCAATAAAAAAAATAAACAAATAAATAAGAATTATAATAATGATTAAATAATCAGAATGTCGGGTCTTTATAACAGAGTGATAAAACATAATATCGCTCTAAACTACAAATTGGGCTTTTTAGAAATTCACATACAAATTATCCAATTTTACATTGACTTCACAGTATATTTATACAAAATTCTAGTTAAACAAATAAGACAATAAAGATGAAAAGCAAAAATAATAAAAACACAAGATGTAATATATCTTTAAACCTCAGATTAAACAATTATTATTTATAACGAATTGAATTCAATGAATTAAGTTAGTAAAAATAAATAAAGAGGCAAATAAAGGCACAGAAAGAAGCATCAGGAAAAAGTTCATAGGCAAACATTCATATGATTGGCTGTTTAAATCAATTTAATTTTACATTATTTATACAGTTTAAAGTACTTTTTAAAAAAAGAAAACCATAAAGAATAAACAAAAAAGAAGTATATAGAAAGTTTTATTGGACTCCACTATTAAAAATAACGAATTCTTAAAATTAGGTTATCACCGTGCTAATTTCTTTAAAACAAAAAAGAATATTGATTATTTTAATAGTAGAGTGCTATAACTGCTATATACTTATTTTTTTTTGTTTATTCTTCATGGTTTTTTTTTTTAAAAAGTACTTTAAACTGTATAAATAATGTAAAATTAACAGCCAATCATATGAATGTCTGCCTATAAGGAAAAAATAGATAAATGAAATAATGTATAAGCCTTATTGATTAAATCAACAGGTAAATAGTAAGAATTGAGATTTTAAAATATTAAAAAAAAAAACCGAAAAACTCTTAGAACTGAGAAAGCTAAAATAACTAAGAGGTTAGAAATTTGAAAATATGATAAGTATGAAATAACCAAATAAGGCATTATTCAAGCCACATTATATTAGTATAATAGCCGAGAAAATAAAATTAAATAAGGTCAAGCCACTATATAGAGTTCTAACAATTATTATATAATATAACAATATACACAGCCTTTTTAATTATTTAATCAAAGAGGCAGTATAAATATAATGTGAAAATCGCTCTAAGCAGGAGTTTGAAAAGTTATATTATTGGTTTGAAATTTTGAAATTAGAAAATGAAAAAAGCGATATCTGAAGATAAAATAAAAACCTTTTTTTGGTGATATATAGGATCTTTGCTAGGAAAATCACCCTTCGGGATTTTCTGATCAGGCTAATTCGGAAAGGTTTGAACCAGAATGTTGGTTCTTATTCATATGTAAAATATCTTTTTACTTTACTGATTCGACAGTTTATTTAATAAACTATCGAATAGATATAGCAAAAAGGTGATTTACATATGAATAAGAACTGACATTCTGGTCTAAACCTTTCTGAATTAGCCTGATCAGAAAATTCTGGAGAGTGATTTTCCTAGCAAAGATCCCATAAATTATATTTTACTGTATAAATAGGCTTGCAAATGAAAATAAATAAGATTTATATATTACTGATTACAAAATTAATACGTTGCTAATTTAATGCGAAATAAGAAGCCCGAAATTTAAGTCTAAAACTATATTATATTTTAATATTAAAAATTTTATATTAGTTCTTCATATAATATTTTTTAAAGTCGCTCAGAGACAATAAAGTGAAAATAAAAGTTTAAAGTGTATAAACACTTTGTAATTATAGCAACATTATAGTTATTTGAAAAAAAAATTTAATCAATAAAAATATTACACAGTTACCGATCTCAATCATACAATAAGTATAACATTCAAGGTTAATATATAGAAGCCAATTGGGCTACATATTAGGATTGCAGCTTAAGTTGTAGCTTGACTATAGATTGGGAATTTAAATTTTTCATTGGTTAACATTTAATACTATTGATCATTATTATCTACCACAGCTAGAGGTCGGATCCATGAATATTTACGGTTGGAAATAGATAATGCACTTTTATGTTATAAATTTAAATAGCAAAATGAAAATAAGTATTAAATTAGTATATAAATGCACTATAAAATAAGAAAAACAAGTTAGAGTTCATGAATTGGTTCTCATTTAATTTAAAGTTAATTAAAATAGAATAAAGTATAATTTTAATCAAAATATGCTAGATCAAAATACGATAAATCAATAAGATTAGCTCAATTTATAATATGTTACTATGTTGTTAATACCAATTTATATTTTAAAAAATAGTAATAAAAAAAAATATCATATGACAATTAAAAAAAAGTATAAATGAGGTGTGGCGACTTAGAATAGTAGTCTAGTCGTCACCCTCAGGTCTAGAGTCAAAATCTACAGACAACAATATTTGAAAAATAGGCTTGTATTCAGTTGATGGCTATGCATATCAGTTGGATCTAATCTGTAACTTCGGTCACACCATCTAGTAATGGGAGCAATGACACAATAAATCCAAGAAACTGGCATAACCGAAAACCCATTTGGGAAGTCCCAAATTAGGAGTAATAATGATCTTTGATGGTATCACAAGAGGGCTGAATTTGAACCAGGGCTCAAGATCAAAGAACTGAATGACCAGGTCTTAATGGCGAAGGACACACTAGCTGAATTGCTGGGTTCTGTCGCACTGGAGGAAAAGGACATATGCTCTGAAAGTATGTACCAAGAGGAGGGCATCCTTCAGATATCTAAAGCCTTGGCAGACTGACCCTTCCGGGTTGTTGGCTGGAAGTAAGGAGAGAGACCGATAAAGAATCCGGGTAAGAAGATGGTCCAAATGCGAGTACCAGGGTTGTTAAAAATCTAATAAGGGCAGAAGTAGGTAATCACAGGGGTTCAATGGTTAGCTCTAACCCAAGTATATAAGTAGAGCCATGGCATAGGCTACCGAAGTTTTGATAAAAAACATATATGTGAGACATGTGATATCTAGCAAAATGGAAATATCCACTATCCAATAATCTGGAAGCACCCAGAGGCAGGGCAAGCAAACCTCACGGGATGTAAGGACCAATGGTGAGGTAAATTAGGGTGTTAATACGACTATACTAGGCCGTAAGGTTTGGTATATCTCACTCAAGGTGGCTCTAGAAATTTGGGAACTGAAACATTGCAGAGGGAGAGGTCTGGGACATTTGCAGCAGGGGATGACTAATTAGGAAGGTTGTGGCTTGAGACACAGATCGGGTTTTGGCAGTGCCTTAAAAGATAGCTTGAGATACAAACTCGGTAATGACAGCATAACAGGTACTAGTTAGGAATTTGATACCAATAATATACTGAAAATCTTGTAAAAATAATATACAGTCATGTATATTTCACTATAATGAGTAATAAAGAGGCAGCATCATTAAAAAAAAAAAAAAGTATAAATACAATCCGAGTACAATAAGGTATCTTGATCAGAATATATAGCATATGCAGCAGCATAATACTATACATATATAAATTCAAGTTCAAGTATAAGTATAATATAATACATATTAAAATTATTTTACAATGATCTTATCCTTTTCAATCAAAAAAGAAATGTGGCAAATACATGTAAGCTTTTGACCAATTAATAACAAACATATACTATAAACTATAAACAAATAAGGTAATAATCCGAGATAAAAAAACAAATAATTTTATAGTGGGTTAATTTGAGTGATTGACACTCATATGAAATTCTCAATTTTCCTAGTAAATTGCAACAGTAGGCCATTTTTATCATTATTTTCAGGGGTTTCATAAAAAAACCATGTTCTGAACAATGTAAGCAATTTGGCATTACAAATACTTTATTATCATTATGTTTTTAGAGTAAAAATAATAATACCTCAAAAAGAATCATGCCTTTAAAGATGCACTTTTGTTTTATAATCTATAACAGGTAAATTTTTAAAATTCTACTAAGAAATAAGTTACTTTTACCTTGCACTGACTTTTTTTACTTTGCACCAACTTTTTTTACTTTGCACCAACTTGTAAGGTTTCTTAACAACATAAACTTACAAGATCTTTATTTTTAATTTACAATTGAAAAGTAGATTTATACCTTGAGTAATGCCATATAGAAGAACAAGTCTTATATACTTGAGTTATTTTACAGTCAACTCTCTATAAACATGCATTGTTAAGTGAAAGTGCATTTTTAGAACATGTACGAATTAATTCAACTAGTCAAGTATACTTATAGAGTTTCGAAAAAAAGTGCACTTATAGAGGGTTAACTGAACTTATAAAGTTTTTTTTTTTGAATACTGTATAATGTTAATTAAACAATTGTTTTTATATTATGTAATATTAGAATGAATTACAAATAAATAAAAAAAAATTAAATACGTGTAGATTTATTGTATTTTATTTTAATTAAATAAAATTAGTTTATTAAATTTATGTTTTATCTAAATGATGAATTTTTGAAATTTATATTACAATCACTAATAGTTAGACAAAACCTCGAGGTTTTGTGCTGACAAAACACAAAATCTAGTTTTATCTTAAGTAATTAAAATCTTAAATAACAAAATAATAAAACTAATGAAAGATGATGAAAATGATGAAAGGTAATGGAGCTGATGAAAGGTGACAAAACTAACAAAGCTGTAAAGGGTTACAAAACAAAAGATGAAGATATGATAAATGTTGTTGAAACTCATTTTATTAAAGAATATGTATATAAAAAATAAACTAACAAAAAAGAAATGAGCATTCTATGTTGTATATACTAGTATGCTACAGGTTAGTTCTAGAGCAAAATTGTTTGTAATCTTAAAAATTTATTTTGTGATTTGTCTTTTTG